TATAGGGACTAAAGAACATGCAGCAGCACAGCAACACACCATAATCCTGGCTGGCATCCGCATTATTCCTGCTGAATCCTAGGCTCACCAAGTCTCCTCTCCAGTACTCTAGGCTTTCCCAGCAATGATAAGAAGTGTTATCACTCTATCTTTGGTACGACACACTACTTTTTGTAAAATATGGACCACCGCCCCATTTGCTAATCCGGAAGTATTACCCGCTTTTCATGTGACATTGAAGAGGCACGTCAATCGTAACCCCCTTCCCTCTGCAACATCTAGTGCTTTCAACATCTCTAGATGGATTTCCCTGCAGCCTTTCCACTACTGAGGCCCCTGACCACTGTAGTGACTTCAGCTGCAGTGAGAGACTCTGATCTACCTGAAAGTTTCCAACACTACCTACCTACTGGCAAGTGTGTTAAGGAATTCCTCAAAGTGTTATTTCCACTGTTCTACTGAATCCTCAGAACTGGTCAGCACTTTCCCATCTTGGCTGAGCAGCAGCTCGTCTCCCCATCCTGAGGCATTGAACGGTTTGCCGAAATGTCCTTGGAGCCACCTGATACTCTCTCAATAGCTTCTCCATCTCCTCTCTTGCGAAAGCTTTTGCTACTGCCTTTCTGGTCTGCCGACAAGCTTTCAGTTGTGTTACGAGACCCTATGCAAGAAGGCTTCCCCTTCAGATTGACAGTTATTCTCACCACAGGTGTCCACCACTGGGTTTTATGGTTGTCTTTGCAACCACCTCCTTCAACATCCTTCATTCATACTTGATGTCCCCAACCTCACTTGGCACTTGGGAAGTTTTTTTTTCCTGAGGTGGAACTTGAATTCTTCTTGTAAAGAAGTTTTAGCCAGATGCTCCCAGGAGATCCTGACTGCTTGTCTGGGTTGCCCTGGTGCTTCTGGCCTCCTCCCTGTCCGAGTCCAACTCGCCACCAAGTGGCCATCAGTTGATAGCTTCCTCTCTTCACTTGAGTATCCAACACATATGGCCTCTAGTCATATGACATGATCTCTGACCTTTGGCCTGATCTTAAGAGCATTTGTCACGTACTGGTCAGTCAGGATGTGGGAATACTGTGGTGCAAAGTGGAGCTCTTCATAGAAGGAGGTCCTTCAGTGGTGTCCATCTAAAAGCAAGGCCCCCGCCCATGGCGCGTTCCTCAGTGTGCTGTTCTGGAGAGGTCCCTTTATGGCTTGACGTGGTGATGCCGCTGCCGCAGGGGGCCTGCGTGACACACGCTTTGAGTCAGAACGCAGGCTGGCACGATTTTAATGGAAAGATTTGAAAAGGAGGCTGTAAAATACTGTGGAGAAAAAAAACATATTGGAGAGCGAATGTGTGAATGGTCCTGGCTGGGCTCACACGACAGCTGCAGAGTCTGCTGCCCCGAGGGAGGGAACATGCCGGGAAAAGGGAAAGCAGCATGACACGGGGTATATATAGCGCTGCTGCGAGAGGAGCCCCGCACACACGAGCCCGCGGCCCCGTCCATCGCCTGACGTCTCCCCACTGTGTCGTCTTCCTCTGACCCTCTCACTTCCACCCCGTGTCCCCACGTGGACGCCAGATCATCGAGACAGAAGAACAGGCGAAAGTGCGTTCATGAAGCGTCCCTGATCTGTGACATGAGCTCCAAAGTTATTAACAGCTAGTAGAGTACGATCATGTAAGTCAGCATAATAACCCAGAGTGCATAATAAAAATCTGGCGTGCTGGTTGTCATTGTGAAGTTGAGGTTGCGATGCATTTCCTGTGCAAGGCTGTTCGTTTTTTCCAAGTGTGGTGAAACTCTTCGGAGTAGAAGAGAAGAGCAAGTAGAACATTGACAGCTATCGCAGGCAGCATGCGCAGGATAGGGCCTGGGCCAGCTGTCATTAAATCACCGGGCACACACAACCATCGGCTACTCGCCAGTTAAGACCTAACTGCATGTCTTGGGACAGTGGAGGGAAGTGGGATTATCCAGAGGAAACTCGTGTGATACTGAGAGGACCTGCAACCTCTGTACACATAGATGCAGGATGAGGTTCAAACCCAGCTGTGAGGGAGCTGGGCTCTACACTGAGCCAGGATGTTGCCTGAAAGGATGATCGTGGAGAATGTCAATGACACGTGATAGATTGTCGCTTATATCATGTCTGACATAAGCACAGTGTCAGTCAAATGAGAAACAGCTTTTTGGAAAAACTACACTGTATACTCGAGTTCTTACACTTCACCTCTGGGAACAACTGTACGTAGATTTAGCCTGACAGCGGCGGGTCAAACGCATATTTTGTTCATTGGTTCATCCCTTTGAGTTGGCATCGCTCGTCTTGAAGAGCACTCTCTCGCCTCACACTGACTTTTCATGTAAAAGCCACACTTTTCATCGGTTTCAGTTCTCACTTCACGTCTAATGAACCGAAATTAAATTCCCATGTCAGCTTTATGTGTGATACAAACTTACCTTGACGTGCCTGCTCTTGATCATACTGGAAGATTTCAAACAGACTAATTATGCGGTACTTTTCATTTTCAGTAGCTATACAGCATGGAGAAGTGAGATTTGCGGTTAAGGATGCGTTTTATATGAAACACAGTGTTATTAGTCCAGAGCCTTGGAGCTCCACATGGCTTGTTTTTCTTGGCTTTTAACAGTGTGTGTCAGGGCTCTACTGTACAGAATGGATTTATTGTTTGGCATGCTGTGACAAGGATGTGGGCCCTTACAAGCTTCTGCCGAATCCTACAGGGAAATTGTTTTGCAGTATGAAACAATACAAAGGCTACTGCAAGAAACAAGTGGATTGTTGACAGTTTTTTTTAGAACCTCACACCTCCCCCCCTCATTTTACTGACAGACATATGGCAGAAAAAGAGACTTAAATTCTGTAGCACAGCTATTCATTGAAACATTTCAGAGACGCTGATGATGGATGTATATACGGGCATGCATGGAGGAGCAGTAATCAGCTGACCTGCTTCCACCTGTCGTCTGCCTTCAGCAATCTCCACGTTCAGTTTAGCTACCTCCCAGAAGCCAAACTGAACTATTGCTACCGCGTCCGAGTTCGAATTGAATTAATGCCAACCACCAAACCAACTTCTTGGTGCTCATGCGAGTTTCACTTATGCAAAATTGTTGTGAGGGCAGAAGGAAAAAAAAAATTAGTTCAGAGAGATAACCAATGCCATTGTAGATGAGGTGGGACCAACCAATCAGATGTCTTGGTCCCGCCTTCACTAGTTGCTTGGACCCACCTCCTCTACAATCTGAATGGTTATTTCTCTGAACCAATCATTCTCCCTTCTGCCTTCACAACAATTTTGTTAAAGTAAAACTCCCATGAGCCTACTAGACTTTCAAGCTTCCTCTTGTGTGGTTTTGGCCGCATCCCAACTCATTATTTGTCTTTCCATATAAAGGGGAAACTTTCTATTCAAATTGATCACTTTCAATTATTCATGTCACTTGGTTTTATTTACCGACTTGATCTGAAATGCCCTAAGAGATTATCCTGTTAGTTAAAGCACTATGCATCCATGATGAAAATAAGGGTGATAGCTAACAAAAAATAACAATGTGATACTTTAGGCTTTGATCGTGTTAACACATTTACAATGTACTGTACTGTTATGGACTAATTATAAAATCATTGAATGTGTTACAAGTTATATGAACAATGCTTCGTATGTTGTCATGATTGTTGATGTAAGTGTTTATTAATATTTAATACCTGTTAGGGCATCATCAATATTCTATGTAAGGCATGTTACAGTGTTACCCAGATGCTTCAGATTTCTCCTCTTCGATTTGTGCCATCATTTGTGCAATGGATTGGAAGTTCATGTCACATTAATAATTGCCAGCTTATGCAACAATATTTATTTTACTGTCATTCGTCCTTTTATCCTCTCTATCCAAAGATTTCCCTCTCCACTTGCTAAATATGTGCAATAATATATTTGTGCTTGTGTGGAATCTACAGTAAAAGTCAATTTCCTGTTTATCTCTGTCACAGTCTGGAAAACTGTAGCGGCACTGTTAATGACAAAGACATTGCTAATAAACTAAAGAATGTTTTCTGACATGACGGAAAAGGTCTGCGGGCTGCATTTCCCATCAGTAACTGTCCGTCATAAATCCTGCAGGATTTTATTGAGGTGCATTGCGGGGCTTAGCGGCAGACGACAAGCTGTCTGTGGCTGCATTTTCTGTGCAATTTACCCCTTGTAAACTGAATAAATGGAGCCAATTTTCTTTTAGGGTCACTTAGAAGCGCTTGAATCCCCCAAATCCATTTATCAGCGTTCATTAATCAGCAAATATCGGCATGTATTAGAATATGAGTAAAATATGTGTAGGTCTTCTGAAATTGTTGGTATATTTGTAAGTGGTCATTTTTATAAAGTGGTCAGTTCCCCTTTAACCGTGATGATGACCACATTGGATCACTGCCTTGGTCTCTCATGTGCTATCATTCACAGACACTACTTTAATTATCCTGAGTGATTCTCAAAGTGATTGCTTTTTTCATGATGGTATAATCCATATATTACAAGAGCGATGGCCTTACATGATAAGGCTTTAGATTTACTTACCCTCACATTATTTGGTGTACATCCTTACGTCGAAACACTTCAGACACATATGTTCCCCCTGTCTGCTATATGTTGGGGAAGCCTATATTTTTAATTAATGCATTATTTACTTGAATTTGATTATTGTAATGGGCACTTAGCTTAGCATGCGAGCAAATTGAAACCCTAGAGTTATTGATTTATTGAATCCCCTGGTTTTGCTGGAATCTCCAAAAGTACGGCGTGTCAGCCTGTGTGTCAGTTTTTTTTTTCTCCAAGCTATAGCATTTTATGGCATTGATATGGACTTTGAGTCACTGCAGTGAAAATATTAATCTGAAAAAAATTGTATAACCTGTAAGTGAAGGATCCCAAGAACACTTTGTAGTATCCAGCCCTTAATGCATGCCTTTTTTGCAACCCCTAGTTACCACGACGCTGTCCCCAGGCTCCGGTCACACCAGGGGATGCAACGAGACTGAGAAGACTTACTGTGTGAACGGCGGTGACTGTTACTTCATACACGGTATAAATCAGCTGTCTTGCAAGTAAGTGAGTGACCTCCTGTGCTTCTGGATCTTTTTCTGGCGTCTGTTGGACGTTTTTTTATGATTTGATTGCCCGTCTTCCCCTCTTGTTGTGAAGTACAGTATCATCCTAGTACTTACTGTCTTCCCAATATGATTTGAAACATAAAAACAAAATATGTGTGACACTGATGAAGATACAGTCAGCTTAAAAAGTCCCGCCCACTTTCCGTTAAATTACTTCATAATGGAGGGAAACAAAGTTGTGATAATGCTGACATTAGATGTGTTTCCATGGTGATACTCCTCCTTCACCTGCTCTTCACTACTCTCTCATTCCTCTCTGTTACCCTGCCTTCATAAATCTGTGAATCTGCTTAGACCTGTCATCTCCGTCTTCTCTTTCACACATCCTGTGTTTGCCTTCTCTTCTATCTCCCACCGTTCCACCTTTTTTTTTCGCACTCAGTCACTCCTGTCTCTCTGCCAGATATTTTCCTGAATAGCAAGTTTCATGCACCTTGCCTAATTGTGATTATGTATTACTAAATGTTCTACCTGTTCTGTTTTGATGTTTTTAGTGTTTAGCTAAGCAGACGGGATAAACGTCTCCGGATTGCTTTTGTTGTGCATTTCAGGCCCAGTAACCAATAGTGGACTTTAAATGCCATGTCATGCTGGTTTTAGCAGGAAACAAATATTTATGGTAGCTTGAAGCCTCCTACAAGGAAAATAAGACCATTGCTTATGTTCAAGTTCCAGGAATTTGGGAACAAATTTGCATAAATCCTTTTTACGTCAGTGATGGTGAGCAGCGTTTGTTTTGGAAGCCGAGAACTTTTCATTAGCAAGAAGATGTACCTCTAAGAAGGTCTGTAGATATTCAGGCCTTGTGAACTAGAGAACAAAGGTTCCTTCAGCATGCATTATGGGATATTTGTAGAACAAAAGGTGAAAATGCCAATTTTAGGGCTTCCAGTGTGCAATATAAATTATCTTAGATGGTGTCCCCTTTACTTCTGGTAAAGCTCTTTATTTAGCTTTTAATTGGCTTGTGTTTTGTCAGGAACTTGAATGACAGTAGACAGTCCCCTCTATCTGCTGGCACACTAACACACTGTATCTGCCTTCTCTGGGATAACTGGGAGGTACTGGAATGACACAGAAGCACAGTAGCTGCCGTATTTAAGGTCACTCACTTTCCCAAAGGGAGTTACTGTAATGGAGAAAGTGGATATCTGTTTTTTGGGGCCTGTCCTCCAGTTTTCGGTTCCCGCTCTGCCCTCTGCGGAGCTCAGGAAGGCACACGGGGGCTCCAGCAAGCTGGGAAGCTCTCCGCGTACCAGGAACCCGCCTGTGTCCAGAGCTCGTAACTCAGCCGCTGCGGCTAATTCACTCACAGAAGGGCAGAAGTCCAGGAGGGCTGATAATGCAGTCAAACCCTGCGGGGATCAACAAAACCAGCAGCGCTCAATAACGGCTGGGCCTCCGTGGGTATTACTCACAGCCAAACAAGCATGGCCGGCGGTCCCCTCCCCCGCCCCCTCCACTGTATTTATGTGCCTCTCATTCACTCTAAAATATTAAGTTCTTCTGGGCTGACCTGTAGGCCACTCTTATTTGCCATGTAAGCTCAGGTGCAAATTTCATATTTTATCTGTCAGAAAGTCAAAGTTTCACAACATGAATAAACTTTGCTTGAAAGCTGAGGGTCAGAGGGTTGGGAAAACGTGTAGCTCTCGCTGGGCATCCGATGTTGGGTTTGGGGCTCTACCTGCCTCTTCACTGTCCGAAAGCCCCACCGAACAGGGCACTTACGACCCAGAGTCCCAGAGCCGCGCATTTCTTTTACTAAAAGTCTGCTTTGATGGATGTATACGCGGCCAATTGGATTAGATACAGGTGTTTGATGGAGTGAAAGTTCACTGCCAGTGTAAATCATGCAGTGTAATTCCGAATCGCACGAATACTAGCCGCTGGCCCGTTTCAGCTCGCTCTCACCCATGTGAGCCGTAAAGCATATTCTTGATGGTATTTCGGTCTTTAGGGATTCCAAGCCTTGCCAGTAATTATCCTCAACAGGACATGTGAACACAGGCTTTTAAGTCTTTCCAAAGACATTTCAAGGAATTAAATCCAAGTCTGGGCCATGCATTCCGAAGCCGGATCCACTTTAAGCATCGCTGTCAGCAGCATTGGGCCAGCGGGCTCCCATTCCCTCAGCTGGGAGACGGAGTTGTTCCAGAGTCAGTTTTTTATTTATTTTTTTGGAGACATCACGGGCACCTCAGAGTAAACGATACGTGGAGTAAAGTGCATCGAGGAAAAAAAAAACATTTCTGAAAGTCACACACAACTTTAAAAAAGTTATGATGTGACCAGCTGTTCTGGTAAATAAAATGTCCCGATTCCTTCAAGCGTCCTTTTCTTTAAGTTATAAATATTTAATTGTGACCATTTGTAAACAGTGGTAAAACATATATGTTTAAACTGGCTAGCTACACGTATAGTTCAACCCTGTGCATACAAGTAGATTTTATTTATAGACAATTTATGTTTCTTTCTGTTTCCATCCTGGATAGCTGTATTAATCATGTTGCAAAATCAAAAAAAAATTGAGTTCAAAGTATTTTGAGTTATATGTTATAAAATACAGTGAATATGTTTTTAAAATCTTAAAAAACATAACATTGTTTACATATTATGGACAGTGCACCTGAATATATATGGGACTGTGTTGCTGAATTCGTTTAACGTGCATTGGCATCTTTGTTAAATGTTCAGTTTTGTTTGTTAAACCAAACAAACCCCTGAAGTCCAATGGTACTTCCCATGTTTGAGCTCTTAACGGTCTAGACCAGCAGTAGCCTTGACACACCCATGTTTTTGGGCCTTATTAATCTAGACGCTTGGTAAACAGGAGGGCCAATTGAGTCATACTCAGCATCTACCTGGCCCGATGCACAGAATAGCCAGTAAAATGGTCAAGGGATGGGCAGGGGGTGGATCAGGGTGGGCAGAGTTTATGTCTGGACTGGCTCCCATCTTGGGCATTAATCATAGAGCCGACGGGGGCATGTAGAAAGGGAGGTATGTAGAAATTTAGCAGAGTGTAAAAAGAGCCGTGTGTCACGCTCTGGCGGGAGAGAGAGAGCTTCCATGGGGTCCTTGATTAAATGGACGGGTGCTCCTTACGAACACGCCGGCTTCGTAACTCCGGGGCAGATCGAGCAGCATCACAGGCGGCATAAGCGGTGACTTCCCCTTGAACACGGCCCGCCCAAAAATAAATGTCGCTAGCCCCTCTTAGCTTTAAATCAGCCGATTAAAGGGGGAAGCTCCTCTCTGGGGAGAATTACCACAAGAGGATACAGTCTGTACTCGCTTGATGCTGGAACAGGTCGAGCAGGCCTTCCCGCCCCGTTCTTGAAGATGACATCGTGTTCACAGTATCAATGAAATCATCTCCTACTTTTAGCATCTGTCACTTGAAGTAATCACAACAGAGTGGCTAATCCAGCCCACTGTCCACATATTACCTACATTTTATCAGGTGCTAAAAAGCGGCATACAAGTAAGAGCAGGATCAGCCAATGTCCCAGGAGAAACATGGGGTTAAGATCCTTGCTGAAGGAGCCGGCGGTGAAATCACTACATCAGCCAATGGGATCTGAACCGGAAACCTTCTGATCAAGGCACAGAGCCACAGAGTGTCCCAGCTCAGAACCCTGGCACCTGATTTTCTGTATTAGCTGCTGTGTTTGTTAATATGTGTGCAGTATGTGCATTTTCCTGTTTTCCTATCAGCCAGGTCTGCTCCCCGCCATTCCACAGACTCGTTTGTCTGTCTGTAGTGTACCGGCCATGTGTGCTAAATTGTTTCCTGGGCACTTTGTAGATGATGCGTATCAGCACTGACATGGCATGTGTCCAGCGCAGGTTGAGGGATGAGAGCACGGCCTGAACACCTAAGCCACAAGGCATTTTGTATCCCGTCTGAGTGAATACTGTCATGGCCTCTGTTGTTCCCTTAAATGTTGCCATTCACAGCTATTTGTGTAGTTTAGCCGAATCGCTTTGAATCACACCAAATACCAGCTGTTAAGATAAAGGTTCTGTTCATAAAGCATTAATGCCATCATACTCTTTGTCTCTGCAAAAAATCCATTTGAAACTCTTCTTCTGGTTTTCAAAATCAGAAGTATATATTTTTGGAGCTAAAAGTGTTTAAAATGTTAATGCTGGAAAATAAATTAATTAATTCAATAATTATACGTGTAAAATGTGTATATATTAACAAACACAAATGAACAGGTCATCTTTCAGCTCTGTTTTGGAAGAGAAAATGCATTAAAGCTTTATGAATGATTTATTCACGGGGTAAAATGTGATTTAAAAGCAGCTGCTACATTTATGGTAAGTACACAAATATATAATCAAAAATATTTTGTGCCTCTCCTTGGAAACCAAGGCGGATACTGACAAGCAGAAAACATGCAATAACAGCATCTACTGCTCAAGCGAATCCCTTTCGTTTGCAATAGCCAGTGAGAGACTGAAGTGATGGCTTCGCTGACACTGGCAGAAGGCCTCGGATATTGCCCTGTACCCTAAGGTGGCTGGCAGCAGAAGGTGGACAGATATCTCAGCTTTCTGTATTGTATCACTTATCCCCTTCTCCTTCCCTCAGATGTCGCCCTGGATACTTCGGGCCACGGTGCTTGGAGATAGAGCCCATGCGGTCATACATGCCCAAACCTTCTGAAAGTATGTTCACATAAAATGAACAACAGAAACCAGTAACATGGCACTGAAACCTGTTAGCTTCCTCAGGTCAACAAAGATGACCAAAGGGAGCTGTGATTGGCTGGTTGGCAGTGTGTCACAGTGATGTCGCCGATGGGATCACTCTGCCTTTACCGTCTGAGTTGTACTCTGTTCTAATTCCATGTTCTGCTCTCTCTCTCTTTCTCTCTCTCTCTCTCCCTCCTATCTTTTGTGTTCCCCCTCTCAACACACTCACTTTCTTTTTCTCCTCTGCCCCCCCCCCCTTCCTGTGGTTTTGTTCCCCTCCATCAGGTGTCCAAATGACTTTACTGGTGATCGCTGTCAAACCTACGTTATGGCCCGTTTCTACCGTATGTTCATCTCTCCTGTTCTTCTGTCTGTCTGTCTGTCATTGGAGTTGCATGCTGGAGCAGACCCGTAGCATGCTACCCCTAACTGTCGCCCATTCGTTTGTCTGTTGACTCATCAGTCATGCTGCTTATCCCAGTAACCCCATTCTCAACATAAGAAGCGACATAGCAGTTGCTGCTTTACTAAAGACTCCATCATGAACGGAGCGTCGGCTCGCAAATCCATGCGCAGATTTAACACGGATGTCGCAGCATGCCCTGCCGGTCTGCCCTCTGTTGGGCGGCTCACCGCATGCATAGAGAGCGATCATTATGAATAATAATCTGAAGACAAACGCCCCTCGCACTTGAGTCTATCTCCAGTGTCATATGTAAGTCTATAAGGTGTCACTGCACCCAAGAAAATGGTTACTGAAATTTCGAGCAATTGCTTGATGGCATTTGAAAGAGAACCAACATTTTTTTTTTTTACATTATTTTACTTGAACCAACCTTTAAATAATTGATACACAAATAGAATATTTTTATTTAATTATTATTTAATTACTATATTTATACAAAGTTATATGTTCACATTATTACTATATACAAACATGGAGGTCACTGCAATGAGTGCAGTAGGATATTTTTAGAAAGCAATGCATATTTTAATCAGACTGCATGACTGGGCATTAGACCTGATCTACCCAGAAGGCTTCGATATTATCATTTTGTTCTGCAGTTAACTACATGCATGGTCTCCATGGCATGACTACGATGGCCATCGTTTCATACCAGATATATGCGTATTTACCCTCAAGTCCAAACGCTGGGCCCGATTCTGTGCAGAGCATGAGAGAAGCATGTGCTCACAGAGTGTCACTGTCACGGCCAGCCTGTCCCGCGGGTGGCATATCCGGCACAGCGCGCGGACGGGCAGCGGCAGTCGTGACTGTAACAGGGCTGCGGGGCGGAGGCATGGTGCATGACACTAAACCTTAGACTGTCCTCTGAGAGCGGGCATGCTGGAGCCGACACAACAGCGGGAACCGGCGCCTAGGATCGGGGTGGGATGCTGCCGTGAGAAACAGCAACTGCTATTTCAAGCGGGGCACCCATAGCCTTACAAGACAACATTTACCTTGTAAAACTAGTACAAAAAGAACCTGATTTTTTTGGTCATTCGTTACACAAACAGAAAACAAATGGGATAATAATTGTGGGAGAAAAGGGCCCAGATTGATTAATAATGATGAACACATTTCTCTACCACAGAGCTGAAAATCAACAAAATACTTGTTTCTATGCATCATCCTTTGGAAGTAGTTTCTGGAACTCGAAAGTAGTACATTTGGTGTGATAGCTGCGTAACCCCCAATGGTAAATGCAGCGACTGCCTTTAATTTGTCCCTAAAAGATACCTTTAAACAAGAAGAACGAACGACAGTGAGCGGAAACACAAACACGTACTGTGTCAGATCGCCTAGTTCTGATTGGCTGCCGCCATGTTGTCATGGTGAGCTGTCGCTAACCACGGTTTCATTAAAATAGTCCCACAGTCTGAAGAGCCTGTTGGGCCACCGGCCTTCAGACCAAGGAATTACTGATTTGATTCCTAGCTGTGGAAATTATGTTCTACCCTTGAGCAAGGTAATTAAGCTGAATTGCCCTAGAAAGAAAAACAGCTGTGTCAGCTGTGAAAAGCCATATTCAGGGCCGGGCCCTGCTCACGGGGGTGGGACTCGGAGCGACGTGACGTGAAGCTGCTTGACAAACAAGCATGCCCTCCGGACGAGATGCTTCTCAATCCTCCATTCGTCTCCTTTATGCCCCTTGCCAAGGAACTGCCCGGAAGCACTTGGCATTTTTCTTGCGCACGTCCTTGGAGTGACTCAGCTCAGCCAGTAACATCGTGCTCACAATCTTCCGTTATCAAGCTTGGCACAAACTTCAAACGGCTGTGGAAGAGGCTCAACTCATTTTGCCTTAAATCTCTTCTCCAACACCTGAGCCTGCATTGACCAACTTCAACTCATCGGTCCCCTAGTAGAGCAAAGGCCAGCTAACTTTGCATTCCCCGGAACACTTCTTAACTTCCGAATTTGGCTGTATTTATGTAGCAACCACTATAATTGGTGCCCCAAAAATCATACAACATCCCCTATAGATGTAGGATTAAGTGCATCAGGTACTGGAGTGATAAAGGAACCGCAACTGAGATGGCAAGTTTGTGGGTAGCCGGCTGTGACTTTGAGTGAAAGGGTAGTTATCCAGAGCGCCTTGACCAGGTGAATAAGTGTAAAGGTTGCGAGGGTCTTCTGGCACACGTCAAGCTTTTCTGGATGTCTGAGCGCAGAGTCACTCGTGAAGTCCGCACGTCAATAATGGAAGACCGGCAAGGATGCTCCCATGAGCCATCACAGGAGATCCAGGCTGCAGTGCCTCCAGTGCACCACCTAGAACCCGCACAGATGATGCACCTCCACCTCACCCACAGGAGGTTGAAGAAGAAGAAGAAGAAAACACCCTCGGTGGCTCAGCTGGCAGCAAGCAGTGCGTTGTCATGGCAACTGCAGGAGTGCGCTTCAGACCGCGCTTGGCCGGCGATCTGCCAGCGTGAGTCCCGCTTGGGCGGTCCTCCCCACCTTCCAGCGCTCCATCGTGTTCAAAGGGCAGAAAAACCACATCTTTGGTTGACTTCCCAGCCATGAAATGCTATGCAGATTCATCAGCGATTTGCCCTTTTCCATGTTTTTCCTTTCTATGCGTTTTAACGCTAGAGGCCCTTTCTGACGTAGCGTTTTCACTGGCGAGCTGCGCAGAAACTCGCAGGGATCCCGTCGCAGTAACACAAAGCGATCCATGCATGGAGTTGAAGGTGATGGGTTATAAATTGATTTTTCCCGGTAAAAAGGATGCTGGGGGCAAGAACAGCCTTAATTTGGCCACAGACATTAATTCTAAAACCTTACAACAGTGTTTCCCAATCCGGTCCTCAGGAACCCACAGTCAGTCCATGTTTTTGCTCCCTTTTTTTGGGAGCTAGGAGGGAGCAAAAATGTGGTGGACTGCCTATGGGTCCCCGAGGACCAGTTTGGGAAACACTACCCTACAACAGGCTCTGTGTGAAGTCAGCATTGTAATTCCCAGTCAAGCACAATAACCACTGACAAAAATAAAAATCCACATTCACTATCGTTGGTGGCAGGTGACAGGTGACAGTGATGAGGCACAGCATGCCAGAGGGGAGCACTTTAAGTCTGACTGCAGAGTCTCACGTTGGGGAATTTAATTTGAAACTTTGCCCCATCTGTCTTTCGTTTATTTTTATCACAAGTGTAAACACAGTATGACAACTTAGATGTAAACCACATCACTCCCATGTTTATATGCTGCTGCTCTGAATAGAAATGTTAATATAAAGATCTACTTTCCTGCATTTTTCTTATAATGCCCGTTACATCACAGTTGGACAGTATATATAAGGCCAATTACAAATGGTTGTATTGAAACTCTGCCGTGCCCAGTGTTTTCTAGTTACAGTAAATCGTAAATAAAATATTTATCTGAGATCTGCTTTTATCCAAAATCTGCGATAGACAAATGTGACAAATCCAGGACGCCAAAGCCATATGTGTCTCAGCTTTTTTCAGCACGCCTTGAATAGAGCTCGCGGCAGTAAAATTTAATAACAAATTAAACTACAGGATAGCGATAAATTAACCCTAAGTGGTCACATTAGTATGCCAGATGTACCATATCAGGTAAGACGCAGGCATAATACGACGTGCTGTGCTGTGTTATCATGTCTAAACGTGTTTATTGACAGTGAATCTCCATGCTTGGGATGTGTCTCCTGTGTACAGCTGTGCTGTTAACATGCCACCTTTGGACTAATCTCTGCTACAGTGATATAATGTCCAAGTCCACGTCACGCTTCCCGCAGGTCTCAGCCAGCCGCATACACACACGTACTGAGTACTAACAGAGCTCCAGCGTACACAAAACATCTGTGCCGACCCCCGCGTACAGTGCTCTGCTTCTGTGATGGAAATTACTCTATGCTTTTTAATCTGTCTTCTGTGCCCCCGCCCCCCACCCCCCACCCCTGTAAATGTTAATCCAGAAATCAGATCTAGTAAATACAGGAGTAAGTCATGTGACTGTTCTTGTTTTGCATGCTTTCAGATGCTTGTTTTCTTCTTTGACACCCTGTTGCAACGTGCATCTCTTACTGGTCCTGACATCTAATGAACTCTCGCACTAATCGATATTCGCACTAATCACATGACTCATTTTTTTTTTTTGGTTTGTTTAACCTGCTGGAAGATCTCTTTCTGAAACTGTTTTCTTTTCCCCCCCCTTTATTTTTTCGTCAACTTTCTGCATTGGCAGAGCATCTTGGAATTGAATTTATGGGTATGGAAACAATCATTCATTTCAATCTCAGAAAGCGTTATGAGTTGTTTAGGTTCACTTAAGCCCCACCTCCTTCCATTGAGAGGCTGATTAGCCCCCGTCGAAGCCGGTTAACCTGTTAATCTGTCTGTCATTCCCTAACCCAGCTGCGTGCGGGTGATGTTCTTTCATCAGCAGTGCTCTCCTTGCTTCAAAGCTGGAAAAAAAAGCTGTCAAACTTATAAGCTTCTTACTCCGAACACTCATAAATGCTTGGCGGGGGGGG